TACTTCGGCCGAGTCTACCTTAACCTCTGCCTCAAATTCAGTCGGGGTATCCCAGGGGACACGAGTCATAGGGGTGATATTTTCTCTTACCTGAGCATCAGAGTGTGTGGATGAAGCCATGGTGCGAGCCTGTTGCCTCGTGGTTACTGGATGTGCCTCTTGGAGTGGAGCTTGAGGTACAAAAGCAGAAGTCATTCTGCCCAGGTCGTTTCCCAATATGACATCTGCTGGTAGTTTTTGCATCAGGCCCACCTCCACCATCCCTTCCCCCACACCCCAATTCAAGTGCACTTTTGCGGTCGGTAGTCGGTATACTGCTCCCCCTGCTACTCGTACTGCCACGGATGCGCCGGTGTGCGCCGAGCCCGGAATCAAATTCAGTGCTACCAGAGTCAGAGTGGCCCCAGAATCTCGGAGCCCCTGGACTTCTTTCCCCTCCAAGGTTACTGTAACGGATCACCTGGCTGCCCGACTGGGTACCTCCATTGAAGGATGCTCCTAGCGCTTCCTGAGGACTCCAAGCACTGCAGCAGACACCACAACCACCGAACCGGAGAAGCATACGAATGCTCTCAAGCACATGAATGCTGTAAACAGCTGAACAGGAAAAGCATACAATCAGCTTACACTCCTGGCAATCAGCATACAATCCAATTCCCCCAATAATGAGACGACACTTCGTTTTGAGGTCAAGCAGAACTGACTGTACTGGCACATACAGCCTCTTTTATTCACAATCCACAAACATAGTACAGCCCACAGGGTTTTGAAAGACAACCAATCAATCCGTACAATACACACAGACACTCCCACACAAAATCCTCCCCTCTGCCTGTGATATGATTACTGAACACAATGGTTAATATAATTATCACAGGCAGAGAAATACAGAATTAGAAAACATATCACAGGGATCCCAAAACATGGAATAACCCCATAAAAAGTATATCATCGGAACCGGGGGATCTGGGTGAACCACATATCCAAAATTCACCCTGTGATAAAGTGAAGGCAGATAACCCCAGGGGGAGTATTTGTAGTATGTGTTGTAGGCAACACAATCCACCGTTTAGTTATGGGCCCCTGGGGTGGAGCATTTGGAGAGCAGAGTGGGCCAATGCTCCACTCCTCAGTTTATACACAACTGGGGGAAATAATGTCCAGGCCAGAGTTTTTTGGAGCTGTCTCCAACCCACTGCTAAGCTGCAGATAATCAGCTGTAGCAGTGGGAATAAACCCCTCCCTGCTAGCCAGGTGTAAGAATATGAAATAGTTTCCTTGTTCATATGTATTTTATGCATTTATAAGGTTTATAAATATTATTGCTGACTGAAAGGATATGAAATAGTTAAACTCAATTCACGACATAATATGCTGACTGTGACAGACTAAGGTATTTCTTCTATGGGATGTAAGACAATGCTAAATCTCAGGATGTCTTGCCCATTCCGATTTCAGGATATTCTTCCCCAGACGTATGCAAAAGCTTATCTTTCCATTGTCAGAATAACATGTAATATAAGGAAGTAATAAATCTTATAGTCTGTACTGTATTTGCATATACCATGGCTAATGTAAGCAAACTATGTATAAAAGCCAGCTCTGGAATACACTCAGTTGAGAGTCTTGTCAAGCATGCTGTTGTCCGTGTCTTATTGCTGACAATGATTCTCCATCAACATTGATTATGGTGACCGAGGGATCGAGAACCGAGGGGATTTGAGTCCATTACAGCATTAACCCTTTCAGCTTGGTGTCTAGAAGTGGGATCAGCAAAACCATTGCGGTGAGTAGCCTTTTTGTGTCTTATTTGACGCTGATTGTCTATGACCCCCCTTTGGTTCAGTAAGTCTGTATCCAGTAAGATAGGAAAGGTGTAAGGACTCTAGTTATATTGAGACCATGAGAGGTCTCCGGTTTATATTGAGACTATAAGAGGTCTCCGGTTTATTAGACATTTGGTCTAAATATATAGGGTTTTGGTAACCCAGGTTAGTATCTAAGATAGATACAGGGTATCTCAGGTAGATACAGGTTTTTGAGACCATAAGAGGTCTCCGGTTTATTAAGTCTATAGGTGTTCTGAGCAGCACGGTTTGTAGATCTATAAGTATAACCCAAACTTCTCTTTCTCCCGGTCACCTTTGTTTGTCTTAAGTGTTCTTTGTGGGTGATTGTTTGTCTATATTGGGGACACACTTTGGTAAGTTAGTAGTGTCCCCACTCTGAGTCAGCAGTATGGGAAATGTGAGTTCAGGTCCTGAGTGACCATATATGTATGTGTATATATGTGTGTGTATATGTATATGTGTATATATAAGATAGCAGTACTTTTAAACAAATGGAGGTTTTAAAAATACATAGGGATTAAGGAGAGAACGCAGGTAACTTGTTTTTCTTTGGTTTTTACCATATATTGGGGCTGATGTGTACTGTAGTCCTTGCTGCTGTCCAGTAGTGATGGGAGTGAGCGCAGGACTTATCTTTCTGCAAGATAGCAGTACTGTATATTAGAAAAGAAATGACTCACAGGTTGTACCTGATAGACCTACTCAAATCTTTTTACTTTATTCTTTCTGTCGCATAGAAGTATAAGTTTATTACTCTGTTTTATTGTAAGTTATTTCACATGGGATCTGTGTGCCTGGTATGATTGTTGCTTTAAAAATACTATAAGCCCACTACACTTATTATGAGCGTGGGATAGTGTAAATGTGTTGCATTGTTTGCATGATGAGCTCAGTATATTTTATACTGAGACAAAAAGGAAGCACTTCATTAGTATTTGAAAGTTAATTCCCCATATGGGATTAATTGTATAGAAACACCAATCAGCACATCTTCCCTGCCCTGTGTGTTTGTTGCAAAGGATCCATACTGTAAATATGATTTATGTTTGAAAATAACAGAGCAACATTTACATTTTCAGCGGTCCAACACATGCTTTATTTTGCACTGTAAACTAACCTTTTTATTGCAACAGGTTCCTTTTAAATGATCCAGTGTAATAACTACTGCTTGTGTCTTCTATGTCTCACATTATGTGTTATTTTAAATTGTGGTATATAGCCTGAATCAGAAATCATGGACAAAGGTTTTTACCTGTGTTACTAAGGGCTCTTGGAGACTGACCGGTCTAAAGGTTTGCCATGCCTTAGAACATGGTATAGTATAAATTTTTAAGTCTCTGAGAGTTCTGAAAGATTCAGGTGAAACCATGTCTGTTTAATCTGGTCCAGATGTTTGTTCAATTTCTATAGGATTTAAGTTGATGCAGCATCATCTCAGATTAGTTAATGGAAGTTTTAGACAAATAGTTGAGTTATGAGCGCGCTATATAAATGGATCCTTTCTTTATATATAATACTATAGTAGATTAAAGTAATGAAGTTAATTAAGAAAATGTACACATAAGAATCCCTAAAATAAATCTAAACTAAAATTGGTATACTTTCCAATAATATGTTCTGAATACAGCTGTTAACTGTTTATTCTGTGTAAATGGTGACTGTGATAATGTGTGATAAGTGTGCAGTTTAACTTGAAAGTGGTTTAATTTATATGTTGCTGTATTGTTTTAAATTATATGTGAATCAGTTTGTCACAGTCTAGTGATACTGATAAGAATGACAGCCAAATAACCTAGCAAATAACTGTTTTATTAGTTGTTGAATACTAGCGTTTTGGCCAAGAATAGTTGGAGATTTGGAGGTGTTAGTTTAAGATTGCTTTTATATTGTGTCTATTCGTGTTTCCTAGGAGGCAGAGTGTGTAGTTGTGTGCCCATAAATGTGATTTCTGTATTGGCATATCTGCTGGGTACCCATTATGTGTTTCTACAAAGATATTGTTTTGTGAGATGACTAATATTACATGGGATGCTGAGTATGAGTTATATGGTTTGAAATGAATTGGTGATTATGAGTTTAGTACTTCAGTAAGATGTGCTAAAATCTGGAACAAGGTGGAAGCTGAAATGTTGGGATTATGGAAGAATAAGCAGTCTATATTCACTGCTTTGGCATATAAGCAGGATGCAAAGGAAGAGATTGGTAATATGATTTTTGTAAAGAAATTTTACAAGTGTTGGAAGGATGAGGCAGGTTTGATGTCTGGAGATGATATAGATCTCTTTAAAATACAGTCATGCCTTGGTAATATGTTGCCACAGTATTCTTTGCTTGTGAAACAATTGATTTCAGACTGGGCCAATTTGGATAGCTCAGATTTTCTTACCAAGGTTATAGAAAAGGAAAATGCAGGTTGTTTTGACTTAAGAAAAGATTTAGGAAAGTAAGGTTGCTTATTATGCTCAGGGATTGCAACACTGTCCACCTACACAGGCTGAGAGCGTGGATGGGATGGAGCACATAAAGCCCGTGGAAGGGGTGGTCAAAGAGGGGCAAGGGGATGGAGACAGGAAATCAGGGTTATAGGGGCAGGGGTAACCAAGGAGGAATAGACAGGAACACTTGTTTCAACTGTGGGCAGAATGGCCACTGGAGGAATGAGTGTCCACACCCCAGGAAACCCCAGCAGCCCCAACAACCCTACAATTCTCAAAATATGCCCGGTAGGCAAGAACAACACCAGACCCACTCCCAACACCACTGGCCAGCATATCGCTTAGTTCAGGACTTTAGAGCCCTGAATAGTTTAATTGTGCCCATTTCACCCATTGTCCCTGATGTGACATCCCTCATTACAGCCATTCCACATGATGCCACTTGCTTCACTGTCATTGATTTAAGTAATGCATTTTTTTCTATACCTATTGATCAAGAGACACAGCTACTTATGGTTTTTACTTTTTGAAGGCTGTCAGTTTACCTGGACACGCTTACCCAAGGCTATGTGGATTCCCCAGCTGTTTATTCGTTGGTACTCCAACATACTCTAAAAAACATGGACCACCGGTCATGGTTCCGTCCTTTTTGCAAAATGTTGATGATTTGTTGTTATGTAGCCCTAGCTATGAGGCAAGCACTGTGGATACTGTCAGCAACTGTAGGTCACAAGGTTGTTAAACACAAAATGCAATTGTGTAAATCAAAGGTTGAATACTTAGGTTTTGTTCTGGCTTTAGGCACCAGACAATTGAGTCCAAAACGTATTGAGGTCATTCAGAGGATTCCTACACCCACTACTCGGAAGGAGTTGCTCACCTTCCTCGGCATGATTAATTACTGCCGCCAATGGATCCCTGAATGCTCCCATTATAACTCAATCCTAAGGGAGGCTGTACGTTCTGACAGCCCTGAAAATGTCTGCTGGTCACCAGACATGCTAGCTGCATATATTGCCCTTACAGTTGTTATTGTGCAAGCCCAGGCTTTAGGACTACCTGTGTATTGTAAACCATTTCATTTGTATGCTTGGGACAATTGTAAAACCATGGCCGCGGTCTGTGCACAAGAGCAAGGAGGCGGTATGCGTCCCATAGCATTCTTTTCCAAAGTAGTTCGAGCTCCGGTACAGGGTATGCTGGCGTGTCTCAGAGCATTGATAGCATGTGCAATGGCTGTTGAAACTGCTACTACTATCACACTAGGGCATCCTACAATACTTCATGCAAGTCACCAGGTCACTCAGCTGACAAATCTCACCACACAACACATGACAGCCCAGCGCTTCAGTGGTTATGAGATTCTTTTTTTTAATACCCAGAATCTGTCTTTTGGATTAAACAAGGTTTAGAGAAAGATCAAAATGATCTGTTCTCTAAAGAGGGGAGAATAGGCATACTTGAAGAATAGGCATACTTGAAGAAAGCTGATTTATTTTCATCAGTCAGGCACATAGCAAGCACCATTCAATTCCTCATGAATTCATTTTATATTAGGAATCTCAGGCAGCATGTACAGTCTTTTGTAAGATCGTGTGAACGCTGCTCTTTTTACACACTTACAGATTGATTTTATTCATGTATCCAAAATTGGTAAGAAACAGCAATACTTACTGGTCATAGTTGATCAGTTTAGTAGATGGCCTGAGGCCTTTGTGATATCTAGGGAAGATTCTAGTGAAGATTATTGTTACTGAAATTATTCCCAGGTATGGCTGCCCTCTGCAGATTGGCTCTGATAATGGCCCGGTTTTTGCCAGTGGGGTTGCCCAGGAACTTGCTAAATTCTTGCAAGTTACCTGGCAGTTTCATATACCCTATCATCCACAGAATACAGGGGTAGTTGAAAGGATGAATAGGACTATTAAGGAAAAGCCCAGAATTTACCCAGGAACATGGGTAAATTGGACTAGATATCTACCAGCTATTTTAGCTGAGATAAGAATGACTCCCCACAAGGTGACTAAATTATCTCCATTTGAGATTTTGATGGGATGACCTTTTCCCACACCCTGGGCCAGGGAACCGCTTGTTATAATGTCTGGGGATTTACAGCTAATACAAGAACAATATGTACAGGAATTGTTGATAAAACCGAATGGTATGTATGACAATGTTTCTTCGCAGTTTTCCCTTACCTTCACAGGAACCTACTCATTCATACCAGCCCGGTGACAAGGTGTATATCCGTCAGCTGAACAGGACCAAGAAAGGAGGATACCCTTTTGGACCACCTGCTACTGTGATTGCTGTACCCAGAACCGCTGTCCTCACAGATTCCCATGACATCTGGATTCACGCATCCCGAGTGAAGCTGTGTCCAAAGAGGGGAACCAAGGAAGACAACACCACTCCTCGCTCGGAAACAGAAGAAGTCCCCATCAGCGAAGCATCATGGCTTTTACACCATATCGTAGATTGAGAGGATCATACGTACCTGAGACCAAGATTATGTTGTGCGCTATGCTTTCTGGAGTTGTTATACTCCCTCTGATATTGTTCCTTGAATGCCATTATGAGTACAAGTCAATGGCAAGTTTGAAACCTGTTTGTTTCTGGAAAAAAGACTCTGACATGATGAACAATTCTTCAATACCCCCAGCCCAATTAGGCCTTAGCCCCTCATCTAGCATTCGTCACACACGCCCCCTCAAGAACCTTTCTCCACCACCTTTCTATCAGCATGTAATATGCAATCATTCATTCAATGAACGCATTTGGATGACTTGGACAAATAGTAACCCTTATAAGTACCAGTTACCCATATGAAATGTGTCTACAGCTAATGAAACCGATGCATTATGTTTGTTTGAAGGTTCACAGAAAATTGTTAGATCTTATAATGCAGAAATGTGCACAGTTAAGGTTGCATATCAATGTAAACAGACAGGCCTTATTACTTTTAATAATGATTATATAACTGGTATCATTAATTGGAGAAGGAGACAAATGTTAGTCATTATGAACGACACTGCAATTGAGAACTATACACTACCTTATATTTTTACACCTTATTACTGTCCTTTATCCTCTACCATAGAACCAAAAGTCAACAACGACACACACACACCTATTCCGTCCACATGTGTTAATACAACTGCCTTCTTACAAGCTGTACATGTGTCATTAAAAATCACTACTCCTGTTGTAACATTATGTAACACAACAAACAAAGGCAGAAAAGGGAATGGTATGACACACTGTTAGGAGGTGCTGGAACCACTATGGGTATACTAAATAGTTATAGATATGGAGACCCTCAAGAATAAGTTAAACACAGCCAGCATGCATATAGGGACTGGTTTTCATGCTACTGCAAATTGGGCTCCAATTGTTGTTAAATCACAGGTTATAGGGTTGGATTTAGATAAATCAATGTATAATTATTTAGGTAATTTAACTGTTGCAACTATGAAATTCACTACAGGTCTAAGTAATTGGAGTACTTGTGCCATCAGGTATTTATGGATACAACAACAAGGATTGGCATTAGAAAACACACTAATGATTCCTAAACTAGAGAAGATTAGAGGAAAGCGTAACCTCACAGATAATGAATGGTTACTTCTAAAACCCCAATCCAGTAAATGCAATGGATGGTTAACTGGTAATGTTTCACATTTTTCATGCTCATGCTATTTTACATTATATCATACATCATCAAAGGATGTTAAATTAGCTTGTCAATTTAACACATTACCAGTACCAGTTTGTGATCTCTTTACCAGGAATTTAACCTGGTGGGCACCCACATACACAGGGGACTATATTTTTCCCAAAGATAACACACACATTTAGCCACACATATGCTAAAAGGAGAACTCCTTAAGGTGAGTTCACAAATTCAGAATGATTTAGCCCATCATTGGTACGATGCTTCACTGGTTGGTCCCCTACTGGATCTCAGATAATGAAATCATTCTTCTATCATTTTGTTATTATAGTCCTGATTTTATTGTGTATGATTTTATATAACTGTCACCTTACTTGTACATTGAGGAAGAGAGTACAGAAATGAATCCATAATGCAGAACAGAAACAATTAGAAATTCTCCTCTCTGCCACTGTAGAGTATCAACCCATCTTTAAACTGGGCCTTAGGAATTACCACATGGGAATCGAGGTGAAGAAATTAATGAAAGTCCCGCAGGGAGTGACTAGCACCCCTGAAAATACCATGTGGAAGTTTCTCTGTCCTGGTAAGATTTTATCGATAAGATGAGCAATTGTTTTATTGCTCAAAGAGGGGAATGTAAGAATATGAAATAGTTAACTTGTTTATATGTATTTTATGCTTTTATAAGGTTTATAACATGATTATTGCTGACTGAAGGGATATTGAATACTTAAAGTCATTATGCTGACTGTGACAGACTAAGGTATTTCTTCTATAGGATGTAAGACAATGCTAAATTTCAGGATGTCTTGCCCATTCCGATTTTAAGGATATTCTTTTCCAGACGTATGCAAAAGCTTATCTTTCCATTGTCAGAATAACGTAATACAAGGAAGTAATAAATCTTATAGTCTGTACTGTATTTGCATATACCATGGCTAATGTAAGCAAACTATGTATAAAAGCCAGCTCTGGAATACACTCATTTGAGAGTCTTGTAAAGCTGTTGTCCGTGTGTTATTGCTTACAAATGATTCTCCATCAACGTTGATTATGGTGACCGAGGGATCGAGAACCGAGGGGATTTGAGTCCATTACAGCATTAACCCTTTCACCAGGTGAAGAGGGATTGCTGGCGTCCTCCCTGGAAGCAGGTGGGAGTGAGGCTGTTCTCTCCAGTAAGAGAGTCAAGGAGACTGAGCACTGGGAGTGCAAAAGGGAAGCAGTCAAGGCTGGCTTGGAGCACTGGGAGTGCAAAA